TAAGGGAGATTCAGAGAAGTAAAGCAACTTGCCCAAAGTTCCCGTGTCAGTGTTGCAAGCCCCAAGTCTGACCTCAGACCCTTAATTGCCCTGTGACAGCAGTTCCCAAGGTATGGGAGAGAGAGAGCCCTTGTGGTGGAGCGGGTTACGGATTGGATTGCTAACTGCAAAGTAAGTGATTTGACACCACCAGTTAGTCCCAGGGAGAAAGATGAGGCTACCAACTCCCATTAGGATTTACAGTCTCAGAAACCCACAGGGACAGTTCTGCTCTGTCTTATAGGGTCACTGGGATCAGAATTGGATCGATGCAGGGAGGTTGGCTGTTGCTTTAAGGTAGGGTAAGCTGTTGTTTGAAGGAAAAAGCGACAGGCCAGATGTAGGCAGGTAAAGAGGGAGGGAGGTCTGGTCTCCTAGGAAGACGCCTGGTTTTGTTCTTTTCTTCGCCTGTGTAGCTGCCGTGCTTGGCTTGATCTAGTCATGTGCCGTCACCAGGGCTCACGCTCATGGAGCACGTTTATTTCCATGGACTGTCAGAACGACTTGGGGGCGGGGACTGATGGCGATCCCAGCCACAGCAAAACCAAACGCTTTCTTCCTAGCCTGTCTTAGTCTAGACGCTCCGCTGAAAGGTGCCCACCACAGGCCCAGAACCCTGCTGCTATAGGTACATGTAGTATGAGTACTGGTGTCATCAGTGTGGGATGCCCCCGTCAGCACGGTAAACACAGCCTGACTGATGTGGTGAAAAACACATGAAACTGCTCACTATAGATTAGCACAAGAAAGCCCATGCTTAACCCTGCTGCCTGGGTACTCCACCCCTAGGAGGCATAGCTTCCGGCTCACCACCGCATACAAGGCACCACGGGTGAGAGGCACTGTTAGTTCTTCTTTGGTAGATGAAGAAACAGGCACAGAGAGGTTAGCGTTAACTTGCTCAAAGACAAACAGCTTATAAGCCACGGCACCAGACCCCAGAACATGACCCCCCTCGGGCAGTGCATGCCGCCACTCAATGCAAAGCACTGACCCAGGTGTTATGGAGGTGCAGTGAGATAGATGGAGACGCCCCTCCCACCTCCCCTCAAGTAATTGAGCTGAAGGGCAAAGACACCCAAGCAGGAGTCGTGAAGTACAACAATTGAGTCCATGAAGCTCAGAGAGAGTGTGGTTATTCCGACGTGAGGAACCGTAGAGGAAGCCCTAGAGGTGGATGGTGGCATCTGAACAGACCAGGAGTGACCAGGAGCAAGACCTGGCAGGAGGTCACATCATTGCATTCAAACACCACCAACAGCAATCTTGTGACTGTACGGGGCGGGGGGCACCCACCACCACCACCCCACCACCCCCGCGGGGCCCGTCTTCGTGTCACACCACAGGTGTGTCTGGTTGTCGGGGTAGGTGTTGCTTTAGCCTGACCCTTGAGAACCCAAGCTCTCTCTGCCGGTCAATTCTACCACGCGTGGCATGTGGGCCAAAGGCCGAGCATCTGGTGGTGACAGGAAGGCGGCCGCCCGTGGCTCCAGGCCTCAACAGTCTGCAACCCAGGAAGGAGAACGGAGGACGAGTCAGGAGCAGGGTACTTTTACGTCATTGGGTTTGCTCCCAGGACTCCCGGCCCTTTGCTCACACCCACCGGAATGGTGTCACCTGGCCTCCCGAAGCTGCCGGGGAGGGGCAGCCAGACAGTTTTAGCTCAGCACTCCACTGCCATGAACAGGTTGGGGTTCCACTGGTCAGATGGAAGGGAGGGAGGGAGGGAGGGAGGGAGGAAGGGAGGGCTGCTGAGTTGGCAGGTAGATGAACCAGAAAACAAAGGTTTCCCAGAGGAGAGTCGGGCCCTGGGAAGGTGGTGTGTGTGTGTGTGTGTGTGTGTGTGTGTGTGTGGCGGGGACAGGGGTGATGCTCAGAAAATCGGAGGCTGGCCTTTAATCCCCAGGTCCCAGGGTTGCCACAGAAGGAGGAGGGAAGACTGACAGCGGGGGTCATGGTGGGGAGACAAGATCTGAACTAACACAGGTTCTGACAAGTTCCAGAGCAGGGGGAGCCGCTTTACCTCAGAGCTGAGGGCAGGCAGGGGCGCGACAGGGAGGACTCAGAGGGAGGAATGACGGGCGGACGTTCTCCACATCTTGACAGTCAGAATCCACAGTGATCGGGAGGTCAGTCCGCTGTGCCCAGGAGGCAGCTCCCCTCCTTTTGCTGGACGTGGGGGGGGGGCGCTGAGCAGGCAGCGAACTGGGCACTGCAACAGGTTCCACAAGCCTGTCACTGGCCTGGCCCCTCCCTGGCCCTCAGGTCCCAGCGGCAGCATTGCTACTCACCATTGGACTCACTGAAGTCCAGTCCCCTCCCTGGGTGCTTCCAGCAGAAACCAGCCTCCTGATTCCCTCTGCCTGACCTCTCTGAACGTCACAGTCCTCCTCTCTAAATGGTCACTGTTCTAACCCGTTGCTGTCAGGTCCTCCTGTGCTCCACAGGGTTCCCAAAGCCTGCTTTTCCCTGAAAGGGAAAGGGACGGCCAGGCTTTCCCTCCGAAGCGTCTCCACCAGTGGAGAGCTGCTGGCCACGTTTAAGTATCTGCACACCACCACCACC